AAATGTACCTTATATGCTGATGACATATCGATAATTGTGACATCAAAAGATGATAAAAACCCTGACTCATTAAAAAATCACTCATCTTACATTAATAATACCATTGACATGATAATAAATTGGCTAAATCAAAATAATTTAAATATTAATCTCAATAAATCATATTACATTCAATTTAATAAATCAAAGCATGAACAATACAATTTCACTCTAGACATAATGAAAATAAGAGAAGTAGACCATTTAAAGTTTCTCGGTATAACTGTAGACGAAAACCTCAATTGGAAAACACACGTTAATGATTTGTGTAATCGAATAAATAGGTTTGTTTATGCCCTCAAACGAGTAAAGAACGTAGCCAGCAAAGACACAGCTATATTAGCATATCGTGCTTATATAGAATCTATTCTTCGATACGGGATTATATTCTGGGGCAATAGTGTTGAAAAAAATAGGGTTTTTATTGCACAAAAGAAATGCTTCAGGGCTATCTGTGGAATCGCACCTGATCAATCGTGTAGACCATTATTTAAAAGTCATGGATTATTGTCGCTGCCATCTCTCTTTATTTATGAAGTGGCTGTTTTTGTCCATCAAAACAAAGAATTGTTTAAAAAGGTTAACAATGATAGACTCAGGGACCCTCACAGATTGATTTATGATGATATTCCGAGGTCGGATAAGTATAGGAATAGTTATTTGTGCATGTGTGTGAAAATTTATAATAATATTCCTAGGACTATGAAAAATTTGAATATGAATATGTTTAAGAATAAATTATTATTATTATTATTATTATTCTTTTGTAAAAAGTATTCTATATTAAGTTAATAACTTAATTTTCCTAATATTTGCATATGGTTAGTTGACTACTTTTTCATTTTATAATTAAATAGTCCATCAATATCTGAAAAACAATGTACAAATAACAGCACGTCTGCGATTAATGGTTTCGGAGATAAGGTTCTATGTCTGTGGAACTGCTTCTTGTCAGCTGAATACGCTCCCTACAAATTCAAGCCACGAAGTAACTGCTCACCGTGCTATGGTAGCGAAAGCCGTATGGGCATCTGGGCAATCTTTTTAATATCTTTGTTATTTGCACGTTACACTTGTTGCAATTAAAGTTGTTACATTATATGTAACTTATTTAACACGTTCACTGCCATCCCCGCACCGGTGCAGGCTGCAAGATTCATATGAGAGACCGACCAAGCACCAGTGCGGTCTCGCTCCTAGTAAATTCTATAGACTCGTTTTATGAGGTTGGGATAAAATCTCAAATAAATTATTAAAACACTATATTGACATTCTGGTTCCGCATTTAACTCACGTCTTTAATATGTATTTACACATATGTCACTTATAAGGGTTATGGAATTAAGCTATCGGTAAATAGCTATTCTTCCTTCATTCTCATAAATTTTATAAAAAGTTATTAATGCGGTTGGTAAATATTTTAGAAGATAAACCTACTTATCTAATAACCACGGAAGGTAGGTAGGTCCCCGGAAGATGCGGTAGCTAACCTCATAATTTTTTATGAGGTTACCTTAGACTTAGAAAATAAATGCATTTAATTACTTTTAGATCTGGCAAAAGCCTTCGATGTAATTCCCACTTCCATTTTTCTTCATAGATTAGAACGAGTTGGCATACGAGACACACAGCTTGATCTTCTAATGAACTATCTAAGAGACAGAACACAGTATGTGAAACTGGGCAATAACGTGAGCTCTGATATTACTACTAATTATGGTGTACCTCAAGACAGTATACTAGGTCTAACCCTTTTCCTCGTTTATATAAACGATCTTCTGTGCCTTGATGCTTTCAAGGGAAAAATAATTTTCTATTCTTACTTTTACTGCAAAAATTTAGGAACAAATAAATTAAATGTATATACAATAAACTAAACTAATTTATCAAATCTTTGGACCAATCGATTAGTTCCTAAAAGTATGAAACCGAACAACACGGCGCGGCGCAACATGGGACGGCATAGATATTTTTTATTGGGAACTGAGGAAAATTGTATCTTTAAGTTCGTCTTAAAACAATTTATAAAGATGTATGACATAACCATTTATTGAGATTAAGTTTCCGTATTCCCTTGTGAGTTTTATGAGATCAATTCTGAATGTATTCCAAGAGGACAGACCATTGCCAGCCAACCATGAAGAGTAACCAAATTATCAAAATTTTAAGTACCTAATCTGTAAATATTTTTCCATTTATCTTTTATCCAGGAGATTCTAAAACGTGTGGTCTGACTAGCTAAGAGTGTTCTTTAACTATAATTGAATCTTTTTTTTGTTAAATTTATTATATCATAGATATAAGTATTCTGGCCGTATATTATGTAAAAATATAAAGCACTAAATCAATCTTACTTATGTTATGATTTATATTTTTTATTAGACGTTAATTTTCCAACATCATAACCCCAGATAAAGTTACGCAATTTCCTGGGTTTTGATTCCAATTGACTGGATTCCCAGGCAGGTCAACGTATATAATTATTTTTTCTATGTTGTCTCCAATCTGTTATGGTATATTTACGTTGTTTAAAAAGTTATTACCTAGTCTAGCTGTAAATTCTGTTACTGGCTGTTTTTTTATATTTTTTTTACATTAAAAAAATTTTCAAATATTAGCTTCTACGATAAAAAAAAATTACTTCTTTCCCGCCATTACTGTATGTTTTTTGTTTATTTTCATTTCCAAAACATTGTTACGAAAAAGGAGTGAAAACTTCAACCAAAGTGTATCAAGATACCGATTATAGAAGCGGTAGTTAACCCTCCCAACAACACCTTCAAAAACGAAGTGTGGAGATTTCAACAGGATTCAGCCCCGGGTCATAAGGCGCGCACTACCCAAATTTGGCTTGAGCAAAATGTTCCAGACTTCATAAAGGCTCATGATTGGCCTCCGGCTAAACACTTTGGCCTATAAATTGTGGTCTGTGCTGGAGGACATGGCCTGCTCTCACCTGCGTCACCCAAATATTGAGTCGCTCAAGAAATCTTTGGAGGCAGCAGTGATCAAGTTTCCAATGGAAACCATTCGTAAATCCATCGACGAATGGCCCAACTGTTTAAAAGTGTGCGTTAAAGCTAAGGGTGGATACTTTGAATAACTAGTTTAGTACATAAGCATATCTTTTTCACACTACATAAATAATCACATATAAAACTTTAAAATAATTTTTTTTTATTAGAAATTATCGGATATTTTCTTTGTAACAGAACTTATGGCTAGACTAGGTATAATACTCGTATTGTAGTGTACTTTAGCTACTTATATTGTAATCCAAGAGGTGTGTGGCGCTGTCTAATATTTACTCATCGGCTGAGAATTATGCTAATTAACCTGAAATCATACAAAACTGATGTCAAAAATTACGTCATATTGGAAGAACCCGTGATACTGAGTGTTATCTTAGATATTACTCCAGTGCTGACAATATGATAAACACAGATTACCTGTGATCATAGATAAAGGTCTTAAACCACTCTATGGAAACCTTAAAAATCTAGGGAATAACTATTACGCAAAAGTCGGCATAGATGGCATCACTAGCACGTACAGTAAACAAATGAATGTTTATGTAACAAATAATCTGTGAAAACGTTACAAATTGTTTACTATAATTAGGTACCAAAAACTTGTATTAAATTATTATGGCATCCTACAGCCGAGGATAATATTATATGTTATATTCATAGATAATTTTCAAGTCAGTACTCATACTTATTGGGTAAAAAAATACGCTCATTTTAAACTGTATTTGTAAAATTTAATTCATTTTTAATGACTTTTGACGTTTATAAAATGTTGTGCTGGTGCTGCCTTCTGGTGGCAGAAAGTTTCAGTATTGGATCCCAGAGGCTTTTATTAACGATTCGATAAGAATGGTTTAATATTTTTAAAATTTATAGCCTATGTTACTTGTTAACAGTAAAGCTTTATATTGTGAAAGAATTTTGAATAATGGAACGTTGTTTATTAAGCTTATCCAAGCAAACAAACAAAAAAACAATCTTCCCCCGTCAAAATTCAAAAATATGTGCACAAAGTACATTATCTTATCTGCTAGCTGTCTTCCTGTACACCATACACCACCAGTGACAGAATTTTCATGGTCGGTTCACTATTTCCGAAGATTACTCCCTACAAACATACAAAGTGAGAAACTTTTCAATGCAGTTGCTCATAAAGCGCTATTTTTTTAATCCATTGTAAACACCGAAAGTGAGTCTTTAAACACGTGTTAAATAATAATGTACTGAAATCCTTTAGTGCACACATGCTTAAAAGTATTTTTTTAATTTTTTTGGTCGAACCCCAAAGAAATTTAAAAAAAATTGATGAATATATGTCAAACTTTAGAGGCAAAAGTATTTCAAGGAGCCTAGACCTAATATTTTCAAATAAAAATGTATGACACGAAAACATGTTAAAAAATCACGTTTAATTTTAACAAATAATTTTTACCTTTAATACATACTTAGTTTTATTTACCTATATATTTGTTTTATTTCCTCGCAAAAAGCATTAAAAAATGTTGTAAGAAACTTGAGCGTAAAAAGTTAAAAGTTAAAAGTTAAAAAAGTTAAGTTAAAACCTTACTTTCCGCACTCGTATCTTAAATAACTATTATCTATTTCCAATAATAGATAGTTCAGCGTTAGATATATTATGTGTGACGCTGCACAACACCGACAACACATTAATGATAGCATTGCACCTGGATCAATTCTGCAGTAACCCATGAAGCACATTGCATTAGGCATAAGTATGACAAAAAATAATCCTTTTAAAACAAGGGTGTATTGCTTGATCGATTACGTAACGTAGAAACCTGTTTTCTGGAAAGCTTGTTGCTTGTTTTATCTTCTGCGTTTTGTTTGATTTGAACCTATTTAGTGTACTCGATAAAGGCTGTGGTAAAAATTAGAAATCTGAATTTGATTTTTTAAGATTTTTTAATTACAAATGGAGAACGCCGCTCCTGTGCCTGCAGCTCCTGTTGTTGGTGCACGACGCGAACCTTCGATAGATCCTGTGAAGGCTCAAGGCATTCTGTAATTATCCTTTTCAGTACTGTTAAATAGTTCATCATTATAGCATATCAAAGCAGGGATAATATAACATTTCTCACTGTAGGTTATTTTTTGTTTTGTGACAGTGATTTAAGTCTACAAAGGTTTTTATCTATAAGTGAACATACTCATGATTAAATACTTACTCAACATAATATGTCTGCTTTATGAAAAAGAAGAACATGTTTTTGAAAATAGAATTAGCGGTGAGTCAGCAAGATGCGTACATTGCATTACGGGCATTAGGGCTAAAACAGAAAAACCGATCGAGAGCGAATCTGATATGCGTGCAAAAGGTTCTGTGCTATATAATATATCGTTCCGTGCAAATATTTAATTTTAAAAACCATATTTTATAGGTTTTTCTGTGACTTATAGTTATAAAACTAGGCAAATAGGTAGTTGTGAAGATCAGGACCGTCTCCCTAGACGGTCAATTTACAGTTACTTTCATAAATAACTTCAAACTAAAACCAATACCCGAAAGAGACCGCAATATACAAAGTTATTTATATACATATGCTATTGTCTTTGAGATAACCTACAATTGAATACAAAATTTCAAATCAATGAGTCAATGAGTCCACCCTAAAAATTGACTCCAAATTCTTAGATTTTTAGTTTCTCTAATAAAAAATTGAATTAGAGGCTGAAATTTATTTTTGGCTATCAAAGTTCGCTATCGGTCGCTCGAGCTCTAGAGTAAAACTACCTCGCAAATTGGTAGTTCTCACTTTAGGCTTGGGTAATAATCTACCATAAGTGGAGACTAAAGTGGTGTTTCCTAATTTAATGAACAGTAACTGTGACTGACTGGATTACTAACAGACAGACAAGCAGACACACGAGTGATACTATAACGGCGTTTTTCCTTTTGAAGTATGCAACCCTAAAAACAAGTACTTTAAACGGTAGCTTTATTCTCTCACTGTTTATAAATTCTAATAACATTTTCAACTTAAATTTCATTGTATTTTCAAGAGTTTAACAGTAAAGTAACTTTATGATTACTTTTAATGAAACTTTGCGTGTGACCTCGTGAAGAAAATGAAAAGCTTAACGACATTAATTTTCTCATTTTATTTTGTAATAATAATAAAACATTCACTGGGGGAGTTAAGTGAACTATTTATTGGACAGGGTTGCGGTCACGAAGAAAACGAAAGATGCAGCTGGTTTATGGAAAAATCGTTGGGGTTTCTACAGTCAGATTCGAGAAATACAAGAGGAAGAAGCTCAAAAAAGTGGTAGGGATTTTTTTATCTACGTTAATATAATATATTACCAGTGACAAAATATTTTACTATCACACTGGTGACGAAATTATTGCTGTATGAATTGGTACCTAATTTTAATTGTAGAGTTATATTTTTTAATTTAGTTATTGATCTTGACTCGGTCCTGCTCTGCCCGCCGCCAACCGGTTTCCCGTAACTTTTATCAGATCGTCCATCCACCTGACGCTAAACATTATATGTTTCAATGGGAGTCTACCCACTGAAAGCGTCATCCAGCGAGTAGTCCAAAATCTTTCCGCCTCGACGGCTATCAATTTTGCTGGTCATGTGTCCCGCCCACTACTAATTTAGCAGCTGAGCAATATCGATTACGTTAGTTCTCCTACAGATATCATGCACATATCTACGATTTATTTTCTCTAGCGAGTTCTCAATTAATATAACAAAAATCTACTTTATAAAAATAAAAACTCTTTGTCTTACATGCTTAACTATCGTAATTAATCAAGTTTTGAATGTTTGATAAGATATTTTTGTTTAAGGAATGGGTTTAGAGGAATACCGCATGGCTCTCCAGTCTGTTAGTTGTCAACCAGAACCAAAGCTGTGTCCGGTTAATGTTGATCCGTCACCAAAACCGCTGCCTCCTACGTCTGCAGGTGGGTTTTGGTACTGATACGACATCTTATCGAATATTATATTATTTTAGTATTCATTATTGTTTATCATTCGTTCCTCGTTTTTAAAACAGCTACATGTCAAAGAAGTCAGTATTGGTAATATGTAATTTACGTAAGTAATAAGTAAATGGGGCTATAATATCGCTAAGATGTCGTATCCTATGGCTAGAGTTATACTTACATAGCTAGAGAAAATTTGTGTATTCAGATATTTGTTTATATTTCAGTATACAAGAATATAATAGTGTGTGCAATTTTATGATTATAAACATCAATATTAAAAAAAAAATATGGTCATTTTTTATCTTCTCTATATAAACTTTAATTTTGTCCGATTTCATAATCTTCTGTTTGCGCAATTTGCTTACAAAGGAGTCGAAAGTTTTGCCTCACGTATGAATATAATGATAAGCTTTTTTAATACTAGCACCTACTACTATATACGTATGTTCGTAATATGGTAATAAACTTGCGATCCGTGAAGGTACGTGCAAATTTTTTTTAGAATCCCTAGATCTAGTCGAGCGTGATTGAATCCAAAAATATATTAAGCCTATAATATTAATGATAATAATCTTTTTGACCTTTTGTTAAAGGTACAGTAGGCCATAGGGCCTTGTGTCCTCTAGAAAGGTATGGTAGACTCGTAAAAACGGATCGAGACTACCCAATCAGGCCGCAGCCACGCAAAAGTCAAATCTACGACCCGTTTAAGCAGACTATGGTCTTTATAGGGTAACTATATCTTATATTAAAACAGTACAACCGATCGGTGTTGACAGAATACTACTAACATGATTATATAAAAAATAACAGAGCTAAATAATACCGTAACGGTTATAAGCACGCTTGATGCGGTGGCTAAGACAATGAGGAAGTATTAAAAAAAAAACGAAAGTACTAAAAAAGCACCTGCACTAGATGGCGAATCAAAAGTTGATTTTTGCAGGAAACGAATGGAAAGTAATTTCCGTTCCTTTTAAGTAACATATAAAAAACTCAAATTTGAAAAGTTCAAAACATAGATATCAATACAAATCCGATACAAATAGAATATGAGTTGTTTATAGAGTTTTAAAAATTAATTAACTTTTATACATGAAAGAAAACCGGAAGGGTTGTCATGGAGAAATCAAGAACGTACCGTAGCAACATCTAGTTTGATTTCGGGAACTAATGTTTTTTTTTTTAATAATTCCTCATTCGTACATCGACAAATCGTCTTAAAATATTTTGCATTACTTCTATTAAGAAAGAATAAACTACTAGACTGATTTTAAAAATTCTTTTATCTACAATAAAGCTACGTCATATGCGCTAGAGCATCGAAAGAACTTAGCTAAAGCGGGGAAGGAGAGTAAGACATTCAAATTAATTTAATTCTATTTAAAAACTTTGTAATAACTTATTTTATTTACAAGTTTCTATTATTCTACAGTTAAGAGCTCATGTAAATTTAAAAGTTGGACTCTGTACTATTGTTATTATAATTTCCTATATCTACGGAAAGTATTTATTAGGCTCTTACTACAAGTACCTACAAAGCTTCGTATGCTTTAGCTACAATTTATACTGAACTCATTCTCCATAATCAACTTACCTCCCCTGGGCCATCGGTTAGTGATGCCCCTGCATACGCGGGTGATATCCAAACTATTATCATAAATGCGAAAGTAAACTATCTGTGTGTCTGTTACGTTTTCATACTTAAACTACTGAATCAATTTTAATGAAATTAAGTTCACATATAGAGTAGATCATGGAAAATGACTTAGCATTGTATTACGAAAAAACTAAATTACGTCATTGAAATCGCGGGAAAAAAGCTAGGTAGTAATTGTTATAATCTTTCTCTAGGAGTGTGGATGGCGATCCGATATCGTACAAGTTGCCGCCAGCACGGTCCGAAGTGACAGATGAAATGTGGGCGCGACCGCTACAACTCGAAGTGATGCCGTTATGCAAAGAAAACATACAGAGGGCGCTGCATGTCTAACTTATCATTGATTGTAAATGTTCAAATCTCGAACTCATCTGTTCTTACTAAACTTACATATGTTCTTACCTTAAGCATCTTTAATACATTTTTAAGTAGATATTATTTGATTAACAGCCATTTGCACAAACATCCATTAAAATGTAATTAGTTTTAGGCGACATTACCCATACAAATTTGACATTCATAAAACAGAATTCGAGGCTGTTTTTATCAGAAAAGAGCTATGTAAACGTTTTATTTCTTACTAATGTATTTGCGTGTTAAATGAAAAAATGTTTTGCTAATCCTTCCCATCTCAGAGTTCTAGGGTAAAAGCATTTTTCATTAAGAATAATTTCTAGTATAGCATTGAGAATGCAAAATTGATCAAATGAAGAAGTTTACTTTTTTTCTATTTAAAATGAAAGCACCCTCAGACCCTCAGAAGCACCCTCAGAAATGATCATAAGCACCCTCAGACATCAGAATGTCCCCCAATCGGATAGTTTTCAGAACAAAATTGCGCGATTTTATACTGAAACAGCCAGACTCTCACGTCTAATGTGTATGTATTTATATATGTATACATGTATGAGTATATGTGTTTGTATTTATGTCTTTATATTTGTCTAAATTGAGTTCTATATGTGTAAGTATATATTTTCTTCTTATTAAGTGTGTTGGTATGCACCTACCTACCTTTACATTATATTTAGTCTCCACATCACCTAAAGGTTCGATTGGCAGAAAATGCCTAAGATCGCCTGTGTATATTAATGCATTCGTATTCGTATTAAATAAATAAATAAAAAATACCTTAAATATTTAGATAAATAAGTTACGGGACTTTAAGTTGCACTCGCTAGAATAAGTTCGTTTCAATCACGCGTTACCTCAGCGTGTGACGACACAGTATCGAACATGATAACGAGGACACGGCTTAGTAGAAATAAGTTCGCCTTTAAGCATCGGTTGCATCTTACATAGGGCACTTAAATCTTCTACTATTATGGTATTAAAAATATTTTATTAGGGTTTTTTTATTCGTCTACTATTATAGTATTAAAAATATTTTAGTTCTAGTCGGTACTAGTACATCTAGTACATTTTACATTTGTCGATGGTGTCCTCATAAAGAGTCGTTGACTGTCGTTTGTTTATCGACTAGTGTAAGCTCATTTCCATTGGTTGATAGGGCTCACATGCGGAGTGTGGTGATTTCTGTGCTTATTTTCATTAGATGGTCATTGACTTGGTTTACCAACTAGTACAAGCTCATTTACATCGGTCGATAGTGCCCCAATATTGACCAATGTAAATATGCCATTATGAAAGTTAGTCGGATTTTTATTTTGTTAATTATAATAATATCAACATCATATTTTCTCATTCTATTGCACTCTCCAAAGTTAAGTTGATAGAAATACACTCACTGACACTAACATAGGACAAAGTAAGTGTATAACCCAACTTGGGAACCAGAAACTGTTGAATATTTAAAGTATATTTCTAAAGAATTCCCTATTATTTCTTATATCTAAGTGCGTTTAATATATCATTATGCATATTCACATTATAATTATACTGGGAAGTATCATAATCTATGTCTATCCATAATAAATCTTGATTTTTAGGAACATCATCATTCTTTGACGAAGTATTACTAAAAAAAAACAATATGTAAACATTACTATTATATATATTTACACAACGATTCTTCGTTAAATACAGTATAGATTTATTTAACGGCTAGCACCGGTGGCAATTGAGATACAATATTTTCGGGCGTCACCTCCAATGTGACTGCCTCATCTTCTTCCACCCAGTGGAATCCGGCCAGGTACTGGAAACGAGAAAATATCTATACTAATAATATAAAGCTAAAGAGTTGTTTATTTGGTTGGTTAAACGCGCTAGTCTCGGAAACTACTGTTAAGTAAAATAATCATCCACTGCCACTGTCTTGTTTGTCACATATGTGATGTTTATTTGTGGTATATTGTTTTTGTTTATGGATTATTTTACTCTTTGGTTTATGAACTTGTGCCTAATAGCGTTAAGCAGCATTTTTAGACTTAAGGCACATTAAAAGAAAGCTCATTTTTTTGTTATATTTTCTTATTTTGTATTTTATTACAAGCTTAAAATATAGTACATTTTAAAAAGCATTATTACATCCAAGTAAGTTTATTTTTTGTTTGTGATATAATTTACATAATTTACCATAATTTACTAATATCCAATTAAATTAAGCAAAACAAACTATATTAGAAGTTGTTGAAATTGATTCAGTATCTGATTTTAAACAGGATGTGCGTTAATTATGTTACACGTTTTTGAAATATTATTTCGTAGGTTAAGATAGTATCTTAAGATACGTAATATTTTAGAATTTATATTCTCGGATCTTAACCGTGTGTGACAGCTTAAGATGTTAAAATATGTTTTTAAAGATAATTTAAGATTATATATTATAGCATCTTAACCGTCTGTTGTTAGCTTAACAGGAGTGGAGCGACAGTGAAAAGTGTTGCAAAAACTGTAAACCATGCGGACGAAGTCGTTGGCGGAAAGCTAGTATATTAGAGGCAGTCCATTAATCACGTGATGTTTTCTTCAGTTATTTTTAATCTCCTCTCCCCCTTGGTGATACATGATGAGATTTAAGACTTTATATATTATAGCATCTTAACCGTCGTCAAAATCACGTGTATTTTCTAGTACGGACAGTTTTAATTTTTGACGGTTAGTAATAGCGCGTTTGTCGAAAAAATAAATATCGTGATATATTACTACGCCATCCCCCCCTTTCGAGCTCCACGTGATTAATGGAAGGTCTCTTATATAAAACCTCTATGTAATAATTTCACTAAATACACACAATACAAATTTATCGAAATTTCTTATTTTATTGCCTTAGTTTCGAAAATAAATTTAATCTTTACAGAGTAACGCCATCTAGTGAGAGTTGTGTTAAAAGGTTATTATTATAAAAACATTTTTATTTACCTTTATTGGTATAATTTTCAGATGAAAATTTGAACGTCTATTTGATTTCTTTTTAGGGGTAGGGTCTTCAGTTTGCTCCTGAAAATAATATATGTATTTTTATTGTGGAAAGGAAACTATAAAAAGCCCTACGTATAACATTGACGGTTCAATATTGATAGGATACAAAAGTGTTGCAAATCGTTAGCACTCTCAGTTTCGGTCTAAATTAATAGAACTTTTCAAAACGTCAAGATAATAGTAAAATTATTATATTTGATCAATCACGCATTCACAATGCTTTACTGAAAAAAAATAAAAAGAAACGCTTAAAAATCCACCTTGTCCCTGGCACTCTGAGATAGGATACGAACCCATGGCCTTTCGCAATTTAACCTAACAGGAGTCCTGTTAGGTCCCGGGTAGCTCAGTCGCCCGAATTGCGAAAGGTCATGAGTTAAAATTTCATATCACTGATGGATTTTGTTAAATATACCTAAAAAACTATATCATTCATATAATAGGTTAAAATCTAGAAATGAATTCAATTTTCAAAATTTCCCGCATAAACGCCGCTTCTGTCATGGCGTCGATATGATGTCGTGGCACTTTGAAACGGATATGCATAAGGTCGAATTCTTTAAGTTCTGATATGAGTAATAGGGCGCTGTTTGCGGTCACGTGACAATGAGTATAAGATATTTGCCTGTTCATAATTAATCAAGCAATATTATAAATATAATAAGCACAAAATTGTGATTACCGGTAATAGTATATTAAACACTGCAAGAAAAAATAGTTTGTATTTATTTTCGTTTACTGTCTACACCCGTAATAGGAGTATCAAAATATGTAAGCTTATTTCCGCCAGTAGTAGACACTTTTGGTGCACAAATTTGTACCTAGTATATAATAAACATCATATGGTGGTGGTCTAAATGGAAAGTAGGCTACAGGGACAGATTTTATTATATTATTTTAAACACACTTCTATTACTGCAATAATTGATTGATTCCATTACTGCGGGTGCAACATTTATATGCACTTATAAGTTTTATAATTATATTAAAAATTTATTAAAAAATTTTTCTGGTCTAATTATTAAGATTAGAATTATATATATAGTCACTAAAATGCAAACGAATGAACTAGTTCTGTACAAACATATTGCACTGGTAAAAGTGTGATGTTCGAATGAATGAATATTTTTTTATTACACAAAGAGCAGATAGTATACTCGGTATTATCGTTGAGAAGCAATTTCTTCCAGGCAACCGTTACAGTCTGGATACATAAAATTGTGATCGGAAACACATGAAAGTGTTATAGGTCATATATGAAATTTTATACCTGTTTCCTATCCATAATCCACAGAGAGGTATCATCGTAGAACATAAGCGCATCTCGTTTCGGATGGGCGATGATCGCGCGTACAGACGCACGTCGTAAACCCCACTCGGCGGGCAAAGCACTGTCAGGCCACGACGCAAACTTTTTCTCAACTAACTCGTATTCGACAATCTACAAAACATAATACACTAATCGTACGAATTAACGTGACACCTAAAGGTCTATTCTATTTCTGCGAAAACGAAATTTCATATATTTTGGATATGCTAATACAACCCCAAAGAAACACATTTTTCGATAATTTATGATGCAATGGAGGTAGGAGCTGACACTGCTTCTGGTACGTAATAATCTTCTTGGATACTATTTTAACGAAAGAACGCTTCGAAATTGGATTTTCATTCAAGGACAAATAGAGTAGGCCTTCAGGTCAGATAATTCATATGAATATAGTATAAAACAAGTCGCTTCCCGCTGTTCTGTAAGCGCAGACCTTTTGAACTACACAACGAATTTTAAAACGGTTTTCATGAATTTACGGAGTGATTAGCCAATCAGGCTGATTTTTGGATCAAATTTATAGCGCGCAAACAGACCTTCGCACTCCTTAAAGCATAGAAGCATAATTACCTTTTGATCTACATAAGTGACAACAAGAGTCTCGTGAGCACAGTCAACGGTTAATGCCGATGGTATACATTTGTATGTTGGCAATGTGACGTAATGTTTGAATTTGGTCTTGTTCTTCGTCCACACTGCAATAGCGCCCAACGCGTCTGCCACAACCAAATAAACCGTTCCTGATGGTGTACTGTCAGATATATGCAGGTGTAACACAGAATTTGACTTCAGGTCTGTAAAGAAAAAACACTGTGTTTAAAACACTGAAATACGAATAGAGCTAACTATAATAAATTTCGAAAATTAAAGTGGAATTTGTGTATCACGTGACCTGAAACACAACCCACTATAGTGTGACGTCGGTTCGGCAGAAAAATGTTTACTGTTACTTACTAATCTGACCAATGCAGAAAAATTGCATCTATCAGATTAGTTGTAAACGGTATTATCTATACTAATATTATAAATAGTAAGGTTTCGATTGTTTCTTTGTTTGCATTGAATAGGTTTCGCAACTCCTGAACCAATTTTAAAAATTCTTTCAAATACGGGAAGCTATATCATACGCGGGTGACATAGGCTATAATTTACGCGGGCAAAATACTAATATGCTGCCAAACTAGCTGTATTTGCTTAAATTATAAGCGAACAAGTTGTAAGTTTGGCAGACAACGTCTAAAGTTTGATTTAATGTAAAGTTAAGCAAATATGTTTACACATTTTTACGAAATTTTTTTTTTTTTTCTAGCTTAGAAATAAAATAAACAGTTGATAAATAAATTAATAAATATTAGAAAACTTCACATACAAGGGTAGTAACTAAAGCCCCCGTATTATGGAGTATCTATGACAACGATTGGACCACAACACCCAAACCCGAGACAATATGAAATGGCTATTTCCTACACCCGACCGGGTATCGAAACTCAAAGATTGATTGGGACCTTGAAACTACAGTGGGAATCACTCGGCTATGGAGGTCGTCAACTTACAAGTACTTTTCAAACAGAAACCCTTTTGCAACCTGTTTAGTACTTACGTTTATCTATTGGTATGTCGTATAGTGCCGAGGCCCCCGCCTGAAGGTCTAATTGGAATACTAGCAGACGTCCCTCGCTGCTGACCACAGCTAGACTCGAGTCAGCTGTGAACGCGATACGATCGCACGTAGCCGGCGCACCAGTCACCAACATTTTGGACAGTGAAGTGTTCGACAAATCTTCATCCTAATACAGAAATGACAGATGCAAATGCTATAGAAATGATGAGAGTAGTTAGCATATTAAATCTGCAACTGCGGAGAAACTTCTAAAGGCGATTAAAAATGTATAAAATTTTTGAGTGTTTTTTTTTTTTTTTCAGATATTATTTTCAGCAATATAATATCTCATCCATGCTAAGATCGAAAGTGTTTTATTTTCATTGTATTTAGGATTTTTTATAGATCCTAGCCCCAAAAAGAGCTTAAATAGATGACTCCTCAAAATCGTCGAACGAACCACTCAGCTAAGGAAACCATACAAAAAATTAAATATGATATAGTAAAGAGACTTACTGTTTCTAATTTTAGCATTCTAATAGCACTATTAGTAGAATATATGATAAATTCTCCATTTGGTGAAAGACCACAACAGCGTATTTGCTTTTTGCCTTTAGTTTGAACGGACACTAATTTTACTGGGTTGTCTGTTAACTTAAGACACTTGCTATTTTTGTGATCATATTTTGCTTTGTCTAAAATTGCAATCGCTGTATCTTGTTCTATTTGATCATTTTCATCCTTGACTGCATTATTTGAATGTATACTTGGGTTACTAAACACTACTTTTCCATTTTGATTTGTTGCATATGAGCCTAACTTCCACACTTCTAAATGATTTTTATATCTGAAAATATATAATACAATCATTTTAATAGTCACGCTCAAAAAATATATCTTACTCATTAATATCATATTGTTATTTTCTATTATACCACAAAAAATATCAAAAAACGTTCTTGGATATTCTATTGGAACGGCCATGGCTATTTCAATAGTGTTCATGTGTCTGTGGAGGTTAGTTATGAGTATAAGTTACTTAATTACCTTAATAAAATCATTTTTTTCTTTGTGCATATTGAAGATCTAGGTGCAGGAATCATAGGTGGAATTCTCATGACCCATTTTGGTGGATAACTAGACAGAGTCAAGTATCCATCAGCTCCAAGAGAAACAAGCCTTTCATCGTTGATAACTAAGCATCTAAATGTCATAACATTTAAGAATTATAACACACAAAAATAATTACTATCAAGACAAATATAATATAAATCATATGAACTTCACCTAACATCATGTTCATGAATATTTCTTTGAACATTTTTGACCCACTGTAGAGTGCTCTGTTTATTACAGTTATTGTTCACTTTGACAAAATTTGTTATCACAGGGTCTACTCCGCTGCAATATAAACTCTTTTCATCTTCAGAAACAGCTATTGATAATATGTCAGCCTTATGAGTTGTGTATGATTCAATCTGAAAGTGATATTAAACTTTTAATATCTACAAAATATAACAAAACAAATATTTCCAGATAAAAATGTAAATAACTTTACTTGTTCTCCAAGTACTCTATCCCAAAATGTGAGTCTCCCATGACTATCTCCTGACACAACTAGGTTATCTGAAAGTACTGCCAAACACCATACTATTGTCTCCTTACCGCGTCGACTGGCCAGTATGCGGCATGTAGCATGACCTGTTTCTACATTCCACACTCTTATAGTATCTATTGAACCTAAAAAAACATTGGAACTAAACTAATAATGACAAAAATGTATAAATTAATTATAGCCTAAGATTGACTGATGGCATCTTATGATAACCGCCACCAGCAGTAGAATATTTTCTACAGTTGTTATCACTAAGGGTATACCGTAGACAGTAACAACACATGGCACTCGAGTGACTTGACATAGAGTCAAGTTAATGAAGTAGCAATGTCAGATTACTAATGAAGTTAGATGTTCAGAAATGTAAAGAGGAAATTAAATCATTACCTGTTACGAGCACACTGCCAGTCTTATCAAATTTGCAACACATTATTCTTCCTTCTTGCTTATCAAATATTTTTCTGTATTCAATCATGTCATTTTCTACACTGTATATATTAATATAACCTTGTTCTGTTCCAACTGCAACTAGAGTGTTTGATGAATTTATATCGAGACACCAAGCAGCATATCCAGTGAGAAGCATTGTGGTTTTTATATTCAATTTATTTAGATCCCATTCTACTAAGGCACCACCGAGTCCTGTAGATAACAGCCGGTCACCAACCCAACCAAGGGCCTCTACAGAACCATTCTCAACACCAGGTATAAACTTAATCAAATATGGTGCATAAGACAGATCCCATATTTCAATGGTAGCATCTGATCTGGAAAGATGATAAAATGTAGATATTAAAATGATATTTTAGACCAGACTTTGAAAGAGAAATTTTCAATAGGATATTAACATTTGCTAGCTACTTATCTCAAAATTTAATTCTTAAAGTCCATTCTTGTTAAATTTTATTGTATTAGAACAATATTATTGTATTATTTTCTTTCAGACAAAAGGTTACAATTTAGCAGTCAAATTCTCTTTAGAAGGGCAATAATTACCATGTGGAAAAGCACTAGCTAATTTCCTCATATTATAAAAAACTACCGTTTAACTTAGTACTTGTATAAATTATTTAATTTTTGGTCAACTTTACACTTAAGTTTAGCCTACTATCACAATCCAATTCACAGTTATCGCCATTATTATTTATAAACTTTATAAAATACAAACACGAAACTAGATTACTAACCTCGCAAGTGCAATGTGTTTATTGATTTTACTGTATGAAACACAATTTATTGATTCAGGTTTTGGGTTATAATAACGCACTCTATGTACTTTACTCGCCATTTCCCCTATTAAAGAACAAATGTAACTCTAAAAAAGATAAAATTTAAAAACGCACGCGAGACCAAAGGAGAATCCGATTTGACATTTAACACGACAATGACATTGACAACCGCAACAAAAACAACAATAATAGGGATGCCCGATCTGAATCAATATTTTAGATGATGAAACATCATCAAATTTTTCGAATCGTATCGATAGTATACGATATAATTTCAGATCCAATCGTGGCTTGGAACAGCTTATAAAAAAATATATGAGTACTATAATGAGGAAGTATTAAAAAAAAAACATCAGTTCCCGAAATCTTACTAGATGTCGCCACGGTATGTTCTTGATTTCCCCACGTCAACCTTTTCGGGTTTCTTTTATGTTTAAAAGTAAATTTGTTTTCAAAACTCAATAAATAACTCATGTTCTATTTGTACTTTTTCGTATTTGTATTGATATCTAAGTTTCAAACTTTTCAAATATCAGTTTTTTAATATGTTAGTTTATTATAAATACTTCCTTATTGTAGTAGTACTATAAGTGTAGTATTAAAATTGTTTATTATTAGTTTATAAACTAAAACCGCTCGGGGTATGGAATATAAAATTATCAATATTTTATTAATATTATTTCTTCGTATAAATAATTAGATCCCGTACGTTTATCTACGTTATCATTTCTGAAAAGTTTATAAGCAACTAATTGGGCTCTAAAGTGTGTAAAAATTCGTTGAAATTTAAACATTTTGCATGCATCATTGTTTGCATTTGTATTACTTTTTTCCAAGATCAAATGAAATCGATCCAAGGCGATACGATTCAGATCGTGGATCGATCACCAAGTTATGATCCAAAATATCAATTAAAACAAAAGATCGGGCATCCGTTAAACTTAAGCGCTAAACAATAGCGTTGTTGTCTTATTGTATTTGCAATAGAAAATCGAGAATAATGTGATAGAAGACAGGTCAAGATATAAGTTTCTGTCGTAAGAAATCTCAAAGTAAGAGCCAATTTTTGTTTTGCTGTTATATTTTCTCTCGGTATTTTGTATTCTGTTAGTACATTTATTAGGTGATCAAATTAGCTGCTTGTTATAATAATAGATACGAAATATGTTGGAAACGGTGACCTATATGTAACCAATAAATAATTATGTTTTTTGTTTTAAAATAAATTATATTTAATTTTTTTTTCAAAACTTACAAATTATAGTGTTTGGATTATAAGTACGCGGATGACTATGACGGAGCATTGAGTGACGCCACATTTTAATAAACTAAACGTCAACATCTAGCAGTACTCATGACCATTGAAATGTGATGTCATGACTTGAAATGTCATGTGACTAGAAACGGGAAAATGCCCGGGCGTTTAAGGCAAATGGTTTTTTATAACACCTTTAAATTTCCGCCCATTGGGCATTTATATTTTATAACAAAATTTGAAAATTAAACATAAGGTCAACTAATTGACTTAGTTGTGTTTTTGTTAAAGATTTAGGAACCATTAGGTTATAAGGTTTGGTCCCAACTATGGTGATGGAGACAACTGGCCAGGGAGACTAAAGGATAATTATCTCCCTCTGATCTAGGTGTTGTTAGCCCGGGGACCGCGGTCCAACCGATGTAGGTTGGACGTTCTATTTATGTTAATTGGTAATGAAACTTATTATGTGCGATGAAGGTTTCTTTGTTCTAAATGCCTTGTAGTTATTAATTTATGCTGCTTGTATTGGTACAGCGCCATCTCGTTACTTGCTGTTGAAACTTATTGCAGTTCGTCTTGCTATCGATGGCTGTGACGTTGCTAGTCTTCTCGCTATCGATTGCTGTGGCGATGTTAGTGCGATGAGTTAGATGTCGCTATGTATCAGTCGCCACAGTATTTTCCCCCTAGACCGAAGGTCGATCCATGGTGATAGTAGGTGGTATGCAGTGAGTGCTTCAGAGCTTGCAAGTGCCAGGTTGTGACGTCGGGACCGAAGCTGCTGGTGTGCAGGACTGCCACGCCGGTGAGTTGTGTGTGAACTGAGGTCCGGTCGTGGGCTGCGAGGACCAGGTCGGGATGATGCCGCCTAGGTTGAATGTGTGGTTCCAACTATGGTGATGGAGACAACTAGCCAGGGAGACTAAAGGATAATTGTCTCCCTCCGAGCTAGGTGTTGTTAGCCCGGAGACCGCGGTCCAACCGATGTAGGTTGGACGTTCTATTTATGTTAATTGGTAATGAAACTTATTCTGTGCGATGAAGGTTTCTTTGTTCTAAATGCCTTGTAGTTATAATTTTATGCTGCTTGTATTGGTACAGCGCCATCTCGTTACTTGCTGTTGAAACTTATTGCAGTTCGTCTTGCTATCGATGGCTGTGACGATGCTAGTCTTCTCGCTATCGATTTTTGTGGCGATGTTAGTGCGATGAGTTAGATGTCGCTATGTATCAGTCGCCACAGTATTTTCCCCCTAGACCGAAGGTCGATCCATGTTGATAGTAGGTGGCATGCAGTGAGTGCTTCAGAGCTTGCAAGTGCCAGGTTGTGACGTCGGGACCAAAGCTGTTGGTGTGCAGGATTGCCACGCCGGTGAGTTGTGTGTGAACTGAGGTCCGGTCGTGGGCTGCGAGGACCAGGTCGGGATGATGCCGCCTAGGTTAAATGTGTGGTTCCAACTATGGTGATGGAGACAACTGGCCAGGAAGACTAAAGGATAATTGTCTCCCTCCGAGCTAGGTGTTGTTAGCCCAGGGACCGCGGTCCAACCGATGTAGGTTGGGCGTTCTATTTATGTTAATTGGTAATGAAACTTATTCTGTGCGATGAAGGTTTCTTTGTTCTAAATGCCTTGTAGTTATTAATTTATGCTGCTTGTATTGGTACAGCGTCATCTCGTTACTTGCTGTAGAAACTTATTGCAGTTCGTCTTGCTATCGATGGCTGTGACGATGCTAGTCTTCTCGCTATCGATTTTTGTGGCGATGTTAGTGCGATGAGTTAGATGTCGCTATGTATCAGTCGCCACAAAGATAAGTAAATATAGTCTAATAAAATTTATTGGAGTGGGGCTACGTTTCCCCGCAAGGTTGTTTCGTTCTTCCGTTGGCGGCGCTGTCGTCGCGTCGTGGCTCGGTGTCTTCTATAATAAAAATACATATATCTATACTGATACCCAATGGTAAAAAGGGTATAGAGAAAGACCAGAGAGCTTTTAGATCACATGAGTTTATTTACCACCAAAAATATATACTTTATAAAATGCAAACAGCACCGACAATAGCTTTACGAAGAGTTATTTTTTAATATAAAATAACAATAGACGCGCATGTGCAGAACAGATTGTCAAAATGTCAATATTTAAATTTAAATTAATTACGAAGATCTTAAACCAAGAAGGTCTCCCTCAACATATACAAATAGAATAACTTTTTATTCAATGACTGAATTATCATCGCCTTGCATAAACTATTAGGATATGATCAATGGTCTTTAGTTATTTGAGGAAAAAACACTCATTACGAAAGATTTATCCAAATTCAATCCCTAAGGGGTGGAATAGGGGTGTATTTTGTAAGCATTTTCCATAGAGAATAATTTTTAATTTTTAGACTATATTAAAAAAAATGTAAATACCAGTTTCAGCCATTGAAACGGTTTTCTCGAAGGAGTGTGATAAGGGTTGAAATGTAAATTTACAAGGAAATCTTGTCATTTTTGACGTAAAACACGTGAAACTTTTTTTGGAGCACTAAATATCTACTATCTTACGGGTCAAATAGAGGTTAGTAATTTTCTGCACAATATCACCAATTTATAATTGCAATTTGCTGAGTAGTGTACAATAAAGCATATATTTTTATTATTATTTATCCAAATCTGTTTTATTTCATTCAATGTAACATTATTTTCGGTTGAAAAATAAGCGTTAAAATAACTAAATCCATTTTCACATCATCAAAATAAAATACGCACCTACCATAAGTATTTGTAAAAATAATAGGAAATCAAATTTAGTTTAAAAAAAAAGCGTATAATACCCGGTACTATAAGTATTTAATAGGAAATCAACTTTCATTTTTAGTACCTACGGGCCACGCACGCGATTACACCGAGTATGTATCTTTCTTTGAAGTTGGACAGTGTCTTAAGGATATAATTTACACAATCACTGAAGTAATAATTAAGAAAATTAATCAGTAGCTCCGACATGAAGGAATGAATGGAATGGATGGAAGTCCGTCATTTTGGAAATTAAAAACATATCATGTTTTACGGATTTTTACGGACGGACTTCCATCAAAACTGCCAGCCCCTATTTCACACATTAAGTTCCACACATTAAGAGAAGAATTTTTAATATCATTGAAAAATATATTCATGAATTTTGAAACAGTAGCCCAAAAATAAAATTTCACGTTTCTAACTTCAATGATCACCCGGGCGCCTATTGTACTTAAGACGGGCCTGCTGCATATGATGTTACAAATGCAACGTAATCAGCGCCAATATATTAGCTAAGTCATTGATATTTAGATTTTTTCCCTATTCGTCCGCCCGAGGAAACACTTTGCAATGAAACTAAAGTATTTCCTTAACTGCATACACTTTGCCCATCTCTACACGTGACTGATCGTTTTCTCTTCCCATTATTTTAATACTTCAATAATTTTAAAATATATTCCCAAACAGTCAAGTAGACAATGAAGAATTTTATTGATATTTAATTATTATATTAAAGTATACTCTATTAAAAATTAAAAATACGTCAAAATATTTTTTTAGTACATCGTTTAGTTTTCCAGATATTTAATTTTTAAGTTAATTACACAATGCGCCGCTCGCTTCTGTTACGTCACATTATCACACTCGCTCAGCGCGCGCCATACATTAAGTCTGTGCTATACTCCCGAGTACTTCTGACCTGTATTCGGTCAAAAATTATTTAACATATCGAATCCGCAAATAAGGAAAACACTTATTGTGTTGAGTCTAAGGCTCTTTACTCATGTCTCAATGCGATGCAATTCGAGTAAAATGTATGAAGAATCGCAAGTTACTCATGAAATTGCACACTAGGATTGCGATATCAGTTGTGCATTCTCATTTGTACTCAATGTAAAAATATTATCATAAATCATACATATAAAATTCAATTTGACAAAAAAATAATGTATTCCTTCTAAAGCAACATGTGAAAAACAGATCAAATGTTGGATGGATTGGTTGCATCTATCATCATATATCTTCTGATTTAGCATCACAAATTCGCATTGGACTCACCACGTAGCCCTGTACAGATTACTGTTTGTACGAGGAAGTATTTAAAAAAAACGAAAGCACCTCCACTAGATGGCAACTCTAGCAAAAGTTGATTTTTGCAGGAAACGAATGGATCAAAGACAGTCATTTCCGTTCCTTTTAACTAACATATTAAAAAACTGAAATTTGAATAGTTCGAAACTTAGATATCAATACAAATACGAAAAAGTACAAATAGAATATGAGTTGTTTATTTAGTTTTGAAAACTAATTTACTTTTAAACTTGAAAGAAAACCTGAAAGATTGTCATAGAGAAATCAAGAACGTACCGTAGCGATATTTAGTTTGATTTCGGGAACTAATGTTTCTTTTTTAAATACTTCCTCATTACAAAAACAATCCATCAGAAAGACCTGTATCCTAGCATCCACCCTATACATTGAATACCTCTGCACATGACATGACTTAAGTTATTATTATTGTCGTCAAGAAATCTGAATCTTACAATTTTTGAGTGACTCAGTACTGACTACTGCGAGTGTAGTGCGTTGCAACATGAAGTCACATGTCATAGCGCACCAAGGCGAAATTTTTAATATAAGGCAAAATAAGACAAAAAGAAAACAATCATAACTTCAAAATTTCTCGCTCGATTTTTATAAATAATTAACAGGTTTAGTTCTAATTGTGAAGACTCTATGGACAAAAAGTTTCAAGCGATTTGATGGATCCATTGATATTGCTTGTGGTACAAAAATTATTCTGGGATTACTTTTAAAATCATCTGGAGTAAAATTTTCAAATTACGTTATTTATTCCTAAGAAGCAGACGGTGTTCAATTAAACTATAATTTTTCTTTTAATTAGATAGACATGATGTCGCGGCAAGGGCAACACCATTTTTTGGCTTCCCAAGCATAACTTATGTATTTAGATTTATTCGAATACCTGAAATCGATATTTATTGCTTTTATATATCGATTATTACTTACATTGAATTGAACGTTCGAGAATATGGTTCATCCCTAGCGAGTATGTAATTTACGAAATATAGGGAGAAATAATTTTATTGTTTATTCAAAGAATCCTAATAGACGATATTAATACTAATAAGTGAAGCTTATTAATCCTATTTGTGTCTATAATGGGCGACGGTCAAAGTGAAAATCAGCCTTTGCTGAGAGACGGTAAGGGAACAATGATTTTTTTGTTATGACAGCTGATGATTCAACCAAAACTTATTTTTATTTATTTATTTTTGTTGCTAAACAAATTGGTTTAGGCAGATTTCGTTGTAGATAGTAGTTGACCGTTTGGTTTCATGAATATATTAATCTATAGTTGTGATCATTTATGTTGGTCGTTTTGCTTCATCAGAGGAAGTCAATGTGAGCACAATTTCTCCAATTGGACCCGATGAATTACCACCACCATACCTTCAAGTAGGGATGCCAATGGTGACATGCCGGGTATGCCAGGCGATGATAGACATCTCTGGCAAGAGAGAACAACATGTTGTGAAGTGTCCTGAATGTAACGAAGCTACTGTAAGTGTTATCTAGCATTTGTATTTATAGTTATGCTCATTATTAAATCCATTGTATTTTTTATGTCGTTTTTTATTGTGATTACAGCACTTTATTACTATTGAATTAACACTGAAAATAAATATAACTAGGTATTTCTGAGTACAGATTTTCCCATATTAGTGCCTGGATAAAGAAGAGTAGTTTATGTATGTAGAATAAAATATTTTGAATGGTATAAGAATTAAGACCTTGATGCTGCAAATAATTGTTCGGTCTGAGAGACAGTTGCTAAGCAACTTTCACAACAGCTGCGCATGGGATGGCTGATCAAAAATGTATTCTTAACCATGACATGATCTTGAGCTCCTCTGTGACTTGGAAGCCATATTACAAAGGTGGTCATGACTGCATCTGTAGCCATTAATAACCACCAGTGTGCGGCCCACGTGGCTGGCCATGGCAATTCCATTCATTGGGAAGGCTTGAGCCCTGTGGCACTGCTGTCTGTGGGGATATTAATAAGCTGATAATGATAATGAAAAGAATTATTCATATAACAGGTTTATGGCCAAAAATAGTGTATAAAATACAACAAGATTAATTAGCAAGTTATGTGATTTGTTATGTATGATGAATTATGTAGTCTACCTAAAATAGGAGAAATAGTTACAAATTTCCAGTAGACCAACAGGTGTTATATAGATTCCCTGTGAAATGTATACTTATTATATCATAATTTACTCTCAAATGCAATTGCAATCAATTTATATTGCAATTGTGTTGTTTCATGCTCTCTACTGGGTACACTAGTAGTAACATATACTAGTGCACCCTATCAAGATCGAAAAATCCGATTGCCTTCAAGAGAGAGCATGCTGGTTGGATTGCTATACTATATGTAGTATTGTACAGAATACTTGGTAGAGATTAATGATGATGTATACCTAAACTGCTCAATAATTCATTATTTATAAACTTGACAGTATTGTTGATTAATATAATTAGTTCATTAAGATCCATATTTTAAAACATGTATTTTTCAATTGTTTCAACAGCCTATAAGAAATGCCCCACCAGGGAAAAAATATGTGCGTTGCCCATGCAATTGCCTTTTGATCTGCAAATCATCATCTCAGCGTATTGCTTGCCCACGTGCCAACTGCAAGCGTATCATCAATCTTGCTCCTTCTCCTGTGACACCACCGGTCCCCACAGCGCCAGGCATGTGCAGAGTCATCTGTGCACACTGCCAGGACACTTTTCTTGTGAGTTTTTTTATATTATATATTAAAACATAAGAAGATTTATAAGCTTTAACAGTACGGGAGCTTGTGATAAAAATGAGAGTTCTGTGATGATACTTCAATATTCGGAAGTACTAAAGGTACTTCAATATTCATTACAAAACTTGCACATTTTTGTCATGAGCTCTCCATCTTACTCTCAACAATCTTATAATTACTTCATTTACCTGTTGGGGTTTATTTTCATATTGCAACATTCTTCACTTTTAGTTAAGAAGTGTGTTTAGAGCTAAGGTGTGTCCTTGTAAAAATATCTTGGAAGTTATTAATACTTTTTGAAAATTTGGAACCTACTGCTGAATTTTGAATATTTTCAAATACAAACTGTTCTGTTTTGGCAGACGTCATTGACCTTGTAACAATTAATCTTCATATATATAATGAATAATGAGGTCCTGAAGTGACTAAATAACATCAATTTAAGATAACTGATGGTATTCCTATCTAACAAAATAAAATATAGTAAAAATATTTAATTAAAAAAGAGTTATAATGATTTCGGTATTTTGCCTATAAAATATTTGGAGTTATTAAAAATAGAAATGTGTAGAATTATCATTAATTACTTAAGTTGTCATTAGTCACTGCATGTGTGTGTGCATTATGATAATAATTTAATATCAACTGCACAAGCTATTCACTTCATTGTTCGTTCAAGCCAAAGTGATTGCTATATATGTTTGTGTTTATTTATTCCCAGTTTCAAATGTTGAAGAATGCTCCGGTTCGTTGCCCGCATTGTCGTAAAGTATCATCGGTCGGTCGTCGTATGGCACGTGTCCGCGGCATCGTGTTCGCGGTTCTCGCACTTGTATTCTTCGCGATCGCGCTGGGAGTCACACTCGGTACTTTGTCCTCAGCAAAGAGTTACGGTGGCGGCATTTACGTCGCGTACGTTGCAGCCTTTTTGATACCTCTACTACTTGCGAGCCGATCTGTATTTTACTTCGCTATGAAAGTGAGTCATAACGAAGGCCCCATGTAACTCCCGGGCTATATAGATTTGTGATAAAATTTGTATAATTGACTAGGAAACAATGATTTCTCAATTCCATATTATAATTAGCGTAAAGTAGTTTGGTTTTATACTGAACTAGTGTATAGTTTTTGAGTAGTAAAAGATCCTTATTCGTGGTTTCACTGTTACGGAGTTGAAAGTTGCGTCATTATTCTTGTGTATATTCCAATCGGTATTTTATGAGAGTTCTGTACTACGGTGATATGTCACTTGACGAGCCGACAGCTATTAAAAAAGCACCAAAAAAGTTAAAATTCAATTTTTAAACATTTGTCTAAGAATGATCTTCAAGTGAAGCAGAGCGAAGTGAATTTCTCCACTAAAAACATTCAATGAAGCAGAGCATAGTTGTAGTTTTTAATCAGTCAGTACCGTTCTGCCTCGTACTACACATCATCTAAGTTTTCCTTCAAAATGCTATAAATTTCGACTTAACTAATGCCACTTTGAACGTCTAATGATTAAGGCTGGGCTAAAGACAAAACAGAAAACGAGAGAAATTTAATTAATAACTCGCAAACCCTTACAGTGCTATTAATAAACATGGTTTAGCGTCAGAGTAAATTTTCGTTAAAATTAAAATTTTGGTGTTGGTCCAATTATACAGAGAATAAGCAAACCTTCTAGGAGTAAATATTACTACCATAGAACTTCGTACCAGGTTAATCTAGGTCTCTTTTTTAATAATATGAATTTTGACTAATACTAGGTGCAGTCTCAGCGTAAATTTACTCCAACGCCAAACATTTAACCTCTTTAATAACACTGCCATTATAGAAGTTTACAAAGCGGTTCATTTTTTTATAAATTTTTCCAATAGTATATAAAGATAACTTAAAGATTTGCTTGTAGATTTGCAATCGTTTTAAATAGAGTTTTTTTTTTGACTTGGAATAGTAATTAACAGTACAATAACGGTAGTAAACGACTATGCCTAATATTTTGGTTATTACGTGGCATTTGTAAAGGTGAGGCATGTAGAGTGAGAAGTTTGACTCTACAAAAGATCTGAAAACCATCCGTATGATGTTTTGGCATCATTTTAAATGGAAATGTTTTGGTGGTATTACTATTTCATATTAATTGTTTTTGTGCTCGCTGCTTTATTGAATGTGTCGCCCGCGCATAAGGAACTATTACTCAACTTATATAATAACACAGGATAATAATTGAAAATTAATATTCAAAAATTATATTTCAGAATGTATAGATCCACAGACTCTGTGTATTCTTAGTTTAGTTTAGATTATTGATAATACCCATTGTGTTATCAACAATGGTTTGACCCGCTTTATGTCCGTTTTATTCTTTAGTAGCAATTTGGTTACTTATTTAAGATCTACCCAATTTGCCACTTAGGTATAAGACACAATATGCTTCTGTTTGCTTGCAAATAAAAAAATTACTGACTTGTATAATTATGATAAAAAGTTGGTTGTTATAAACTATGTTTATTAATATATAATTAATGTTTTTATCGTCTTTACCTTATAATTGATATTGAACCGATCTACAATTTATATATTTTTTAGTTATAATAATATGCTTCATTTATAAACAGATTTTATTTAAGTCTTGTCTAAAAGAGCAAATATAGATATAGATAGAACAAGTTTGATGATTTCTTGAAAAAACAGAAAGGTTCATTAAGCGGCTGCTATGATAGGAGGCTATACGTGCCGAACTATTGACATTGAATTCGTTCATGACTAGATCGCCATGAATTTCTCATAGTTTTGGAGCCGATATAAAATCAACCGTAATTTTTCTTACTGGGTTTTACTCACGTTTGATATTCAAGTATAACACCCAAATACTAGTGTTTAAAGCATTGGGTCCACAAACAGTTTCACAATGAAATAACTTAAGCCATTAATAATGTTCGTACATATAAGAACGCCACTAATATGATTCGTGGAAAACTTCTATGCTACAACCGCCAAATATGGGTGTAAATGGAATCAAGGTTGGCACATAAAATTACGGTAGACATAAAAAAAAACGATAATGGGATAGCTTAGAAGTCACGTAATACAACTCGAATGAAATGTCATCGTGCATTATCATTTAAAAAAATATATATATTCATTTTAATTTTTAATTAATCTTCCATCATTTACTTTAACATGCGAATTATTCATGTAGATAATGCTGGTATTTCGGAATATATGTAGGTACCACACGTGGTTTGAATGAATGAAAAGATTGATGAAAATGCACTTATATAGTTCTGCAAATAACCCGAAGAAGACTTTCTGCTTTCCGTTTTACCGACCGACGTTACGGAAAAGATGTTCTATAATCAGAGGGCCGATTGTCTAATATTAAAAATATGGAATTATGTAACTGTAAAGTCGCAGTCGCTTTCAGAACAAATTATGATTTCAATAATTAAGAAACAATAAACTAATCTAAAGATTGCAGTTAGCCTTCAACTCTTTTGTCTTTCGAAAGGGATTGTGATAGATCGAAAATATAGAAAATTAGACCCTAGGGACTAAATAATTCAAATTTCATTTTTCCATAATATTGTTTGAATGTATGGGATTATTATTATTTACAGGAAATTTGAAAAATATACATCCTATTTCAATAATTTAATCACTGAAATTGAAATAATGTATAACGAGAACCAAGTAAACTCTATTATAGTCTGAATTCTGAAACGTAATATATGATTTAAAAATATATATATATGAAAGTAACATTCAATAAGTTGAATTATAAAGAATAACAAAAAAATAGTTTTAACATCTTTCCAATCCTTTCAGTTTGTGTTATTTTAGTGAAAAGTACTGTACCAATTCACAGTATCCAGATGGATGGACCTGCGCAGACGATTGATTTTTGTTAGCTGTGCAAAATTTTAGGCAACCGTATCGTTACGCAACCTTATTGGTTGATGCGTGTGCGCCATGTTTGCACGTGACGACGCCGACGGTAGTAAAGAATTATACTACGAATAAGACCTTCACATAACGCAATAAACTCTATTTTTCAAGGGTGTTGGTACACGTATTTCATCGGCTTTAGCTTATTATTTTTTGCATAGGCAAAATTTGCCGAAATGCTACTTATAAAAGTGGTTGTACTATGTCAACAGCACGTAAAGTTATAAAGTTTTTTTTTTATATTTTTATTATCTTGTTAGGGGTAAAGTTCAAAATCAATGCGTAAATATAATATTATAATATGGTAATTGATGTACCGCTTTTATCTCCATTAACATATATTTAGGTTGTCTGGTGGTGTCTGGTACAATACACATCGTTACCACGCACGCTAGAACGATAGTTGGCACTATAAAACCTGAAGTCCTTCAAATAATGTTTTCGCTCTTAACAATATGGTAATAAGAGCGAAGCCATGTGACTTATTCCGTGGCGTAAACTCTATTAATAGTTTGAGTGTGCGTGGTAAGGGGTGTAACAATCGCCTCGTCTTACTTGTATCAAAAATGATACTAAAATAAATTGGGTTAATTTTCTCGAAAATCTACAAGTATACTCCATTACAGTCCTGGAATACCAGGACTGTAATGGAGTATACTTGTAGTAGTTATGTAAATTAGTATATTATGTAATATTAATTAAAAAAATATCCTAGAGTTATTCGTCATAGTATATCCTTTGTTAGAATTATAATTTAGTATACCTACTTTATATGTTATACAGGATCAATTTGTAATCAGTGTATTTTTCCTACGATTGAGTACGGTTCTAAAAGAACATATAAGTTTTTTTTAATTTGTAATTTAATTTATTAATACTCATAATTTATTGACATTTTCATGTTTATTTTAATAGTAGTAAAAAAACTAGGCATATTGACAGAAATAGGTCATCATTCTCTGGCTACAGTAGTATATGTATTTATAGACATATTTTTATCTTTATCTCTAAATAAAATAGTGAAAGACTCGAATGAATTACAGCATATTACACAATTTGCACACTGATTCCAAATTTATCCTGTATAAAAAATACTCATTATTGTATTAGCAAGCTACTAGTGCGTGCGTAACTCTTAAAAAATGGAAAAATAAAACCATATATGTAACAGCTCGGCTGCATAAAACGAAGACTAATGTTAATACCAAGTTTAAACCATTATCCGACCTAAATAAGTTAATACGTATCATTTTTACGTTTTCTCTCCTATCATTGCCAATTTTCTTTAGGCGGCCAATGATGAACCACTTACTAATATGAGTCTTCGTTTAATACTACGGTAAAGGTTGTAATACATGTGGCAGTACGATAACGTTCTTGTCCGTTGCCCTATCTTTTTCTGTCGCTCAAAACCGCCATTTTCTAGAGCGAGAGAAAAGGAAAATTACTTTACCTTCCTCCTGCGGCTCAGAATTATCTACTATCAGCCTGAAACTCTTACCTTCTCGTTTCAGTTGCTCTCGCGTTTTAATAGCATGTCTAAGGGATATGACAATGTAATTTATTTTCGTGCTACAGTCTGCGTCCATTATTTACCTACAGCAAAAGAGGTTTGTTTTAAACTATTGCTTATGATTGCTAAAAACGATATTGCTACCGTGTATCATATATTTTATTTTATTTCAGTTACTCCGTGATCGTGGCGCTTGCCACACCGCCGAAATATCTGAAACTTATAAAATATAAGGTACATGGTAGCAATCTCGTCTTTAGCAATCATTCTGAAGCAAGAAGTTTTAACTAATTTAGGTCAACATATTGTAACAGCCAACTGTGTGTCGCTTGAAATAAGTTTCTAGAAACGTCTAGAGGTGTAAATCATGTATTTATAATGTAAAAAAGATATTTGGTATGAAATCATAAAATACGGAATTAAATTACAACGTTTTAGGCTCGACCGTAAATTAGTTTATGGTAATGGATGGGTGTTAGCAACTTGATCAGAAATAAATGACTGATATGCAAATTAGGGTTGAATTTGTATGAAAAGTAATTCAGTTTTATGTAGAAAATTTTGTTAATATTTGATTCGTCTCAAACGCAGTGTTTTATCAATGATTTCTAGAAACCCTATTTGAATAACTTAGAAAGATATGTTTTTAAAACTGCTGTGATTAAACATAGACTGAAACCGGTTTTTATTTTTTATAAAATGATTCTAAATCTAAATCATGATTTCAACTTGGATTCTCAATACAGGTAATGGTTGACCTTAACGATTTTATTCTGACCGGCATTTGGATGTAGAAATTGAATCGTGCAA